GGGCCCCCCCGGGCCCCCCCCCCCAAAAAAAGGCCCCCCGCCTGCCACGGCGGGGCCCCCCCGCCCCGGCAGCGCCCAGTGGGGTGGGGGGGGCCACTAGCTGTTAGTCCGCTGCTTCTTGAGCACTGCGTACACGTCCTCCACCTTGCTGAGCCTCTCGAAGAAGGGCAGCAGGTCCAGCAGCTCCGTGTCCGCCATGTTATCGAACCAGGAGGCCACCGGCACCTGCGGGCAGCGCAGCCAGCAGCAGCTGAGGGGGGGCCCCACCACCTCCCCTCCGTCCCCCCCTCCCCAGCCTCACCCGGGGGTACGTACGGCGTTATCGGGGTGGAAGATGTAGGATGCAGGCGAGTTGTCCACGATGATGATGCGGCGCAGGTCGCGGCCCAGGCGGCTCAGGTCCTTCACGTAGTTGCCGCGGTGGAAGACGCAGGATTCCCGGAAAAGCCGTGCTCGGAAAGCTCCCCATTTATCCAGCAGGTCGGCCACAGGGTCCGCGTACTGCGGGCAAGGGAGGGGGGTCACCGGGGCATGCCGTGCCACCGTGCCTGCCCCACGGTGACGATGGCGCCCAGCTCCCCACTGGTGCCAGCTCGCCCTGTGCCTCAGTTTACCTGGCCAGCTCCTTGGAGGGGCAGGCAGCGCTGCCCGACGCTGGCACTGCCTGCAGGTTGGCAGGGGACAAGTGGCCAGCGATGCCCATGGGCGGGCAGGCAAGGGGAGCCGTGCCACCCCAGGGGTGGCCGAGAAGGGGAGGGCGATGGCGGGGGGCGGCGGGGGCACCCACCTTGGCCAGGCTGGCGGTGAAGAGCACGCACTCGAAGAGCTCGCCCATGCGCTGCAGGAACTCATCCACATGCGGCCGCTTGAGCACGTACACCTGCGGGCACGGGTTCGGAGGGCAGCGTGCCGCCGGCACCGGCAACCCGGCCCCCAGCCAGCACCCCATGCCCACCCCGGGGGACGCTCCTCTCCCTGATCCCAGCCAGCGGCTCCCTGCTGGGGCAGGGGGGGCAGAGGGCTGCCCGTGCCCCGTGCCATGGGGGCTGCCCCACGTGGGCTGGGAGACGTCACGGCCCCGCTGGCATGTCCCGGGCGAAGCGTCCGGCCGGCTCCAGAGCCAAGTAACCGAGAACAGGCTGACTGCCCAGACCACAGCCTATCCTGGATTACTTGAACCCGGGGCCGGCCACTGCAGGCGGGCACTGTGCCAGGACCCACCCCCCTCCCCTCCCCACCCCACTGGGAAGAGGGGCCCCCACCTCTG